GCCTGGTCTTGGGCACTACCAGCAGCAGCTGGTCAGCAGACCTTAAAGCTCTGGCTGGGGTGTAGCGCTGGAGGAGTTCAGTTATATAGGCCGGAGCCAGCCCATTTAATGCTTTAAAAACAAATAAAAGGATTTTAAAATCAATTCTGAACCGAACTGGAAGCCAGTGCAGTGAGGCCAGAATAGGGGTGATGTGGTCACGCTTTTTGTGGCCAGTGAGTAGACGTGCAGCTGCGTTCTGAACTAGCTGCAGGCGGTTAATTGAGGCCTGGTCCATACCCACATACAGAACGTTACAATAGTCCAGTCTCGAGGTTACAAAGGCGTTAATAACCCTTTCTAAGTCATTACAAGATAAATACGACTTGGTCTTGGCCAATAGTCGTATTTTAAAAAAGCAGGTTTTGACTACGCTGCTGATCTCCTTATCGAATTTAAAAGCGCTATTGAAGGTCACTTATATAGATAAGATAAGATAAGGTAGTATGGTACTTTATTGATCCCAATTTGGGAAATTGTTTTTGTTGCAGCAGCATAAAAGACAAGGCATTTTACAATAAAGCAAAACTAGAAATAAACAAGAATAGAAATAAAATAAAATAAAATAGAAAATATACATGTAGAAATAGAAAATATACATGTAGAAATAGAAAATATACATGTAGAAATAGAAAATATACATGTAGAATTTGACAAGATATTATATATCCAAATATATATATACATACATATATGACATATGGAATATTAAATATAAACTAGAGAATGCAATTCCTGAAGAAATTGCTAGTGGGAATGCTTTATGCTGAAAATCTGACGCTAAACTGCTATGCTGAAATGTAATGTGTAAGAAAGTGAAGAATTTAGATTGAAATGATACATGAACACTGGGGGCTTGAATGTGTGATGAGAGAAGAAAGTAAAAAGGCTTGGAAAAGCAGCAGAATATTTGAACTGCATACTTTTGAACTAACTTGATGGTGAATCATCTGTCGCCATGCCAACGGCATTTGATGACATCCCTTAATACGCTTAGATGTGTGGATGGCTGCATCGTTACCAAACCTGTGAAGTTTTGGGCCGTTTGGAGTATTTTCACTGAAGTTATGAGAAAACCGTGTTTAATGGCGAGCCTTGTGTTACCATGGCAACGGCATTTGAAGAAACCCCATAATTGACGTAGAGCTGTTGAGGGCTGGACCGGTGATATACAAGCGAAGTTTGGAGGACGATCGGACCGCGTCCATTGGACTTACAGCGACATCGTGCTTCATGGCGAGTGGTCTGTCGCCATGGCATTTGATGACACCCCATAATACGCTTAGATGCGTTGATGGCTGCATCGTTACCAAACCTGTCAATGTGACATCATCATGTTCCATGACAGAGGTGTTTATATTTGAGCTAACGACGACAGCTGTGTGTCACCAATAATGTATAAAATAGGTGGAACATGTTGAAGTCAGTATGAGGTCTCCATCAGACAGAAAAGAATAGGCTCAGACAGTCTGTTAAACTCCAGTGACCACGTCGTTAGCTCAAACACGAACACCTGTGTGTTATGACATCATCGTGTTCCATGACACAGGTGTTTATAGTTGAGCTAACGAGGTGTGCAGAGATCAAAGGTTTCCATTGTTCTGAATGAGAGATAAACCTCTTACATGTGAACGTTTTGTCGAAGAACCGTAACAGATATCTGTGAAATTTCAAAATGTGAAGCATGTCAAGCAGTTGAGTATCTGAAGTGTAATTTTTGTGTACTTTCGGGTTAATAATGTGGCCTTTTTGGCAGTTTAACTAAAGGTGTGCGGCTGCTGCTGTGAGGAAATATCAGCCTGAAATTACAATGGGCTTTAATGGAGGCATGTTGAACGTTTTTGTCACTTCATGCCCTCAAGAGGCATTTTGTTTAATTATTTTTGCTTAATTATTTGTTATTTTTCAAGCTACGAGATGTTTTCTTATGTTTGTCATGAAAAATGATGTCTCAGGAATGTAGGGTTTGGGAATTATGGCAGTTTAAAAAAAATATATGAAGGCAAATTTCAAGATTTCCTACACTCTAGCTGTGACATCTCGCACTCTAGTTAATGTTAAAATCGGAAGAAAGCCTCTTTACCAAGGTCTGAACAATGTTTAATATCTCTAAAAGTAAGAATCAGATTTAAAAGTTGTGTTCCACGAATAATGTCAGAAAGATGTGTAACATTTTAAAGTTGGAATGAGGTTTCTGAGTGAAAGTATGAATGAACAGTTAGCAGTTGAAGTCGCATGAAGATTTGTTGAAGTCTGAAGAATTTCTCCATTGACTTCCATGTTAAAAATGTGATGCATTATGGGATGTATCTCTGGAATTATGAAAGTTATGAATGATAAAAGTAATAGCCTGCGATTCCCGACCGAGCTGAACGTTTTGATGTTTGAACGGAGTTTCTGCGATGTTGAATGTGGGAGGAGAAGAGGGCCAAAATAATTGGATGGAATAATAATAAGAATTTTGTCCGTAGCATAACATATAGTACAACTCTATGAAACCTGATGTACTTATATGATTCTGTTTTCTTCAAGTTTGTATCTTCTTGGTCGAATGCACTATTGTAAGTCGCTTTGGATAAAAGCGTCAGCGAAATGCAATGTAATGTAATGTGATGTAATGAGATGTAATGTAATGTAATGTAATGTAATGTAATGTGATGTAATGTAATGAGATGTAATGTAATGTAATGTGATGTAATGTAATGAGATGTAATGTAATGTAATGTAATGTAATGTGATGTAATGTAATGTGATGTAATGTAATGTAATGTGATGTAATGTGATGTAATGTGATGTAATGAGATGTGATGTAATGTGATGTAATGTAATGTAATGTGATGTAATGAGATGTAATGTAATGTAATGAGATGTAATGTAATGTACTGTAATGTAATGTAATGAGATGTAATGTAATGTAATGAGATGTAATGTAATGTAATGAGATGTAATGTAATGTACTGTAATGTAATGTAATGAGATGTAATGTAATGTAATGTAATGTAATGTAATGTAATGTGATGTAATGTAATGTAATGTAATGTGATGTAATGTGATGTAATGTGATGTAATGAGATGTGATGTAATGTGATGTAATGTAATGTAATGTGATGTAATGAGATGTAATGTAATGTAATGAGATGTAATGTACTGTAATGTAATGTAATGTAATGTGATGTAATGTAATGTAATGTAATGTGATGTAATGTAATGTGATGTAATGTAATGTAATGTGATGTAATGTGATGTAATGTGATGTAATGTAATGAGATGTAATGTAATGTAATGTGATGTAATGTCATGTGATGTAATGAGATGTGATGTAATGAGATGTAATGTGATGTAATGTGATGTAATGTGATGTAATGTAATGTGATGTAATGTAATGAGATGTAATGTAATGTACTGTAATGTAATGTAATGTAATGAGATGTAATGTAATGTGATGTAATGTAATGAGATGTAATGTAATGAGATGTAATGTAATGTAATGTAATGTAATGTAATGTAATGTAATGTAATGAGATGTAATGTAATGAGATGTAATGTAATGAGATGTAATGTGATGTAATGTAATGTGATGTAATGTAATGTACTGTAATGTAATGTAATGTAATGAGATGTAATGTAATGTGATGTAATGTAATGAGATGTAATGTGATGTAATGTAATGTAATGTAATGTAATGTGATGTAATGTAATGTGATGTAATGTAATGAGATGTAATGTAATGTACTGTAATGTAATGTAATGTAATGAGATGTAATGTAATGTGATGTAATGTAATGAGATGTAATGTAATGTAATGTAATGTAATGTAATGAGATGTAATGTAATGAGATGTAATGAGATGTAATGTAATGAGATGTAATGTAATGTAATGTAATGAGATGTAATGTAATGTAATGTAATGTGATGTAATGTAATGAGATGTAATGTAATGTAATGAGATGTAATGTAATGTAATGTGATGTAATGTAATGAGATGTAATGTAATGTAATGAGATGTAATGTAATGAGATGTAATGAGATGTAATGAGATGTAATGTAATGAGATGTAATGTAATGTAATGTAATGTGATGTAATGTGATGTAATGTAATGAGATGTAATGTAATGAGATGTAATGTAATGAGATGTAATGTAATGTAATGTACTGTAATGTAATGTGATGTAATGTAATGTAATGTGATGTGATGTGATGTAATGAGATGTAATGTAATGTACTGTAATGTAATGTAATGTAATGTAATGTAATGTGATGTAATGTAATGAGATGTAATGTAATGTAATGAGATGTAATGTAATGAGATGTAATGAGATGTAATGTGATGAGATGTAATGTAATGTAATGTAATGAGATGTAATGAGATGTAATGTAATGAGATGTAATGTAATGAGATGTAATGTAATGTAATGTAATGTAATGTAATGTAATGTAATATAATGTAATGTAATGAGATGTAATGTAATGAGATGTAATGTAATGTAATGAGATGTAATGTAATGTAATGTAATGTAATGTGATGTAATGTAATGTAATGTAATGTAATGTAATGAGATGTGATGTAATGAGATGTAATGTGATGTAATGAGATGTACTGTAATGTAATGTAATGTAATGTGATGTAATGTAATGTAATGTAATGTGATGAGATGTAATGTAATGTACTGTAATGTAATGTACTGTAATGTAATGCAATGTAATGTAATGAGATGTAATGTGATGTAATGTAATGTAATGTAATGTAATGAGATGTAATGTAATGTAATGTAATGTGATGTAATGTGATGTAATGTGATGTAATGTGATGCAATGTAATGTAATGTAATGAGATGTAATGTAATGTAACGTAATGAGATGTAATGTAATGTGAACAGAATAGGTCCGAGCACTGAGCCCTGTGGCACTCCATGGCTAGCTTTTCTTTTAGGTAATCACACACCAGAGGAGGCGAGTCTGGAAAAGTTGACTTTATTTCTCTCAAAGAATAAACCATGGGAACATTTTACATCATATTTGTGTGTTTTTTTTACATGCTTTAATACAAAATTCACAGTTAAAGTGATGATAAAAGAAAAGACGCCATAAATAATTTGGTTCAAAAACAGAAAAGTGGGCAGAATATAAAATAATAATATTTCCAATAATAATAATAACAACAATAATAATAATGATGATGATGATGATGATGAAGGAGGAGGTTTCCACAGACCTCAGGAACATATTAAAAAAGATTCATTTTCTCACACTGTGTGTATTTATGACTCCACAATAAATAAAGTTACAGCTAGAAAAATAACTCTTTATGTTCATATATTAAATCATAAAAACAGAGTCAGTGCTGGGGGGCGGGGGTTCTCCGGGTCTTATTTTGAAAAGCTGCTCATTAGCGAGGCTGTTTCTGAGGAATGACGGGTTCAGTAAAACATTTGTTGTGTTCAAAACGTAGCAGCGTTTTCAGTTTTATTGGACGTTTTATTATTGATAATCATTCGCAGACGATGCAAAGCTACATAAAACCTCTCGTGTGTTTGTGATGAAAGACGTCTGGTGAATAAAACCTAAACTCGTTGTGCTTCAAAGTCCTCTACACTTGTGCTTTTATTGTGAAGGTTAACAGGAAGTAAGATAAGCTGAAATCAAATATAAATTAGATTATTTTGGTTCTGTGAGAGAAACATCTAAACTGTAACTTTTGATTTTAAAGGATTCTGTTTCCTTTCCGTCAGTCCAGCGCTTCGAGTCAGATTCCATCCTGTTTAATACTGATTCATTATTAATTTCATCTTGATTTAAAACTGATTCAACCCTGATTTCCACCTGATTTAAAACTGATTCAACCCTGATCTCATCCTGATTTCCACCCTGTTTAATCTTGATCTCATCCTGATTTCATCCTGATTTCATCCTGATTTCATCTTGATCTCATCCTGATTTATTCTCAATTTCATCCTGAATTAAACTTGATTAAATCCTGGCTTAAACCCAATTGAATCCTGAATAAAGTTTCAATTGATTAATTGATTTAACTCCATATTATTTGTTTAAATCGATGGTCCCGAACATGCTAACGGCTAATGCTGAATGTCTCGTCATCTTCTTCAGATCTTGAATCAGTGTTGTATTTATTTTGATCTCAGCGCTGATGTTTCTGTATCTGCTGGTTGACGTGTGATGAAGACGCTGCTGTGGTGGCACAGGAAGTTGTTTGTCGGAATGAAACACGAAGATCTCTACTTCAGCTTCTCCTCCTCCTTCTCCCCCTTCTCCTCCTCTTCGTTGTTGTTGTTGTTGTTGATCCTCAGGTGGATGCCGCTCTCCTTCCTCAGAGCGCGTGGAAGCAGCGTTTTCTTCACAAAGACTTTCTGCAGGAAGCGGCTGCTCAGGTTGTCTGGAAGATAGCTGCTGATGAAGTACATGAGGCCGATTCCTGGCCCAGCGAAGTAGCGTGGTCTCGGCCGGGGGGCGAGCAGCGCGCGGACGATGGTCTCGATCACTGGGCGGAGGTCAGGGTCCGCTCGGGAGGCATGAGATTTAAAAAGATCCTTCGTCTCCGTCACGTAATCCTCTCCGTAATCCTGCAGCAGCGCGGGGGGGAGATCCTGCAGGAGGCGCTGGTGCTGCTGCTCCCAGTACTCAGAGTTACTGGACTGCCCTGAACACAACACACACACACACACACACACACACACACACACACACACACACACACACACACACACACACACACACACACACACACACACACACACACACTTAGCTTCACATATGGAGGTTATATTATGTTCTCATGATCTACTTCCTGTTTCCTGCACACACACACAAGCAGGAGTATCCCACACTGATCTAAACCATTAAAACATCTCTCAGTGTTCCCAGTCTATAACTGGACGCCCTCCTCCCACAGCGAGACGTTGAAACATCGATAGAGTTCAAGAACGATTGAGGACAAACTCCGTGTTCGAACACGTGAAGAACAAAGAGTGTGTTCACAGCTCAGAGCCGTCATCATAAAGAACGGTCTGTCATCTTCCATCAGGCGGTGTTTCACCCTGAATCACCCTGAGTCACCCTGAATCACCCTGAGTCACCCTGAGTCACCCTGAATCACCCTGAGTCACCCTGAGTCACCCTGAGTCACCCTGAGTCACCCTGAGTCACCCTGAGTAACCCTGAGTCACCCTGAATCACCCTGAATCACCCTGAGTCACCCTGAATCACCCCGAGTCACCCCGAGTCACCCCGAGTCACCCCGAATCACCCCGAGTCACCCTGAGTCACCCCGAATCACCCTGAATCACCCTGAGTCACCCTGAATCACCCTGAGTCACCCTGAGTCACCCTGAGTCACCCTGAATCACCCTGAGTCACCCTAAATCACCCTGAATCACCCCGAGTCACCCCGAATCACCCCGAATCACCCTGAATCACCCTGAGTCACCCTGAGTCACCCTGAGTCACCCTGAATCACCCTGAATCACCCTGAGTCACCCTGAGTCACCCTGAATCACCCTGAATCACCCCGAGTCACCCCGAGTCACCCTGAATCACCCTGAATCACCCCGAGTCACCCCGAATCACCCCGAATCACCCCGAGTCAGCCTGAGTCACCCTGAATCACCCCGAGTCACCCTGAATCACCCTGAGTCACCCTGAATCACCCCGAGTCACCCTGAATCACCCTGAATCACCCCGAGTCACCCTGAATAACCTTGAATCACCCCGAGTCACCCTGAATCACCTTGAATCACCCTGAATCACCCTGAATCACCCTGAATCACCCCGAGTCACCCTGAATCACCCTGAATCACCCTGAATCACCCTGAATCACCCAGAGTCACCCTGAATCACCCTGAATCACCCCGAGTCACCCTGAATCACCCTGAATCACCCCGAGTCACCCTGAATCACCCCGAGTCACCCTGAATCACCCCGAGTCACCCCGAATCACCCTGAATCACCCTGAATCACCCTGAGTCACCCTGAGTCACCCTGAATCACCCTGAATCACCCTGAGTCACCCTGAGTCACCCTGAATCACCCCGAGTCACCCCGAGTCACCCTGAGTCACCCTGAGTCACCCTGAATCACCCTGAATCACCCTGAATCACCCTGAATCACCCTGAGTCACCCTGAGTCACCCTGAGTCACCCTGAGTCACCCTGAATCACCCTGAATCACCCCGAATCTCCCCGAATCACCCCGAATCACCCCGAGTCACCCCGAGTCACCCCGAGTCACCCCGAGTCACCCCGAATCACCCCGAATCACCCCGAATCACCCTGAGTCACCCTGAGTCACCCTGAATCACCCTGAATCACCCTGAGTCACCCTGAGTCACCCTGAATCACCCTGAGTCACCCTGAATCACCCTGAATCACCCCGAGTCACCCTGAATCACCCTGAGTCACCCTGAGTCACCCTGAATCACCCTGAGTCACCCTGAATCACCCTGAATCACCCCGAGTCACCCTGAATCACCCTGAGTCAACCTGAATCACCCTGAATCACCCTGAGTCACCCTGAATCACCCTGAATCACCCTGAATCACCCTGAATCACCCTGAATCACCCGAGTCTACACAGCAAGAAGCTAGAATATGGAAGAGTTAGTTCAAGAAATACATGAAGTTACTAAATACTTAAAGAAGAAGTAAAGGGAAGAAAAGGAAATAAAAGGGAGGAAGATATTTATTTTATTTTGCATTTTGAGAAAAAAGTCTTAACGTTGGGATTATAGAGTGCCACAGTGACGCGTCCTAAAACCCTGAAGTAAGCTGTGCATGGGTTCCTTCTAATCGATAGATTTACGATTAGAAAATTATAAAAGTAGGGTAGACATGTGGAGATTATCCGACTGAACAAAACGGGATCCGTCTCTGAAACGTGTTTCAACCACAGACCTTATTTCCAGCTATTTTCCTAAATCCCATGGGGAAATCTCATTGCTTTTTTGTCGAAGGAACCGGAAGGAACCCATGCGCAGCTTACTTCCGCGTCACTGTGGCACTCTATTCAGGCCAATTTTAAGTCAAAAATAAAGTAAAGTAAAAAAAAAACTCAATAAGTTTTGAAAAATGATCAGAATAAAGTTGTTAAAAACAGGGAATAAAGTTTAAAGTGTTCTGCTGTGTCTCAGGGTGTGATTTTAGCACCTGGTCTCTAACCTCGTGAACACTGTTTAAGACGTGACAACTTTGTGTTTCTCTAACAGCAGAGAGGAGGCCAACATCAGCTAAACACATCCTGTGTGTGTGTGTGTGTGTGTGTGTGTGTGTGTGTGTGTGTGTGTGTGTGTGTGTGTGTGTGTGTGTGTGTGTGTGTGTGTGTGTGTGTGTGTGTGTGTGTGTGTGTGTGTGTGTGTGTGTGTGTGTGTGTGTGTGTGTGTGTGTGTGGAAACAGATGGCCATCCCACATGTGGACCTCATTAGGACAGTATTGTCCTCAGCAGGAGGCCTGTCATCATGTTCAGCAGGAGGCCAAACCACAACATGCTCTATAAAAACCCAACGGCCTGCAGTATCCCGGGCTAACCTGGGAAATAAAAACACTCACAGACCATGTGACCTACTCTCACATCCAATCAGAGCTGCAGAAACTGCACATGTGACCTGGTACCTGAGGACAGGTGTGGTACAGGTGTGGTTGTGTACAGGTGGAGGTCTTACCTGTCCTGAAGGAGGAGGGCAGCACGGTGCACACCTGGACCCCCCAGGGCTCCAGCTCGTGTCTCAGGGTGGAGGTCAGCAGGTTCAGAGCTGCTTTAGAGGCTCCGTACGCAGCGAGGCAGGGGAACGGCTGGTCACCTGAGCACAGGTAACATGTGACATCACAACACAGGTAACATGTGACATCACAACACAGGTAACATGTGACATCACAACACAGGTAACATGTGACATCACAACACAGGTAACATGTGACATCCCAACACAGGTAACATGTGACATCACAACACAGGTAACATGTGACATCACAACACAGGTAACATGTGACATCACAACACAGGTAACATGTGACATCACAACACAGGTAACATGTGACATCACAACACAGGTAACATGTGACATCACAACACAGGTAACATGTGATGAACTACAGCACGGTCACATGACTTCACGTCACCACCGCTAAGCTAAAGGTGGCTAGTGTCATTTACAAACTTGTTAGCAACCTCAGTTTTTCTAAATTCACCAGTGGGGTATTTACTTATTTCAGGATAAAAACTTAAAACACATTCAGGATTGATTTAAAGTGATGACATGCTGAGTGCAGATGTCAGGGTGTTTAAGGACTCATTCCCGCACCACCCTATGTGTAATGCATTTAGGATCATCTGAACAATGTGTTTCGGATGGAGATCCTACAGGACTCTGCGAGTTAACGTCATACTATCCAGTTGTTGACAGAAGTAAACGCTGATGTAAGAAACCTTTTATTTATTTTCCACATTATTCTGAGCTTGTTGTTTTGGTTTTGTTCTTTAAACACACAACAACAAGTCCATTAGAGATCATTAAACGTGTCATTAAACGTGTCATTAAACGTGTCATTAAACGTGTCATTAAACGTGTCAGTAAACGTGTCTCTGACAGGGTTCAGTAGCTGCTTTATTCAAACCAAAGCATTGTAATATTGATGTAGCCTCTGTCTCCCTGCTGCATGCTGAGGAGGTGAACTGGGCTTACAGATAACAGCAGAGATTTAGTAGTGGACCCAGTAGCATTCCAGTCATCCTCCTTCTGACCCCACGCTGGAAACAAACCCATAAATCCCATGTTCTCCGTGAGGAAGCTAAAGGTCATAACTCTGATCTGATTCATACCTCTGTGAAAACATCTGGGGTTAACTGCATTTTACAGGATAGCATTGAACGCATCATGATGATGGTACACATCCTGAACACAAAGAAACTACCGGGATCATTTTCATGAAACTTGATTAAAGTGTGTGTGAAGGAAGAGCTTTTTACATTCATTCTACATCAGTATTTATTGATTTCATATTGTCTGATCTATTCCCACTTTATTGTTCATGTCGGCGTCTCATTCAATAACCATGCACGGTGAGGTCAGCTGATGTGTGTGTTCCTGAAGTGTGTGTATTTGTGTGTTCCTGAAATGTGTGTGTGTGTGTGTGTGTGTGTGTGTGTGTGTGTGTGTGTGTGTGTGTGTGTGTGTGTGTGTGTGTGTGTGTGTGTGTGTGTGTGCGTGTGCGTGTGTGTGTGTTCCTGGTGTGTGTGTGTGTTCCTGAAATGTGTGTGTACCTAAAGTGTGTATGTGTGTGTGTGTGTTCCTGAAATGTGTGTGTGTGTTCCTGAAATGTGTGTGTGTGTGTGTTCCTGGAGTGTGTGTTCCTGAAATATGTGTGTGTGTGTGTGTGTGTGTGGGTTCCTGAAAAGTGTGTGTGTGTGTTCCTGGAGTGTGTGTGTGTGTGTGTTCCTGGAGTGTGTGTGTGTGTGTTCCTGAAATGTGTGTGTGTGTGTGTTCCTGGAGTGTGTGTGTGTGTGTGTGTGTGTGTGTGTGTTCTCCAGCTTCGTACACTGAGCAGAGGCTCTGTTTGTTTAGTTTGGAGCATGAAGGCAGCAGTTCATCTGTGGTTCAGTTCTTCTAGAACACTCAATTAAGATTTATACTAACATCTGTGAGTGTGTGTGTGTGTGTGTGTGTGTGTGTGTGTGTGTGTGTGTGTGTGTGTGTGTGTGTGTGTACCTGCAGGGCTGGAGATGTTCACGATCCTCCCCCTGGAGAGGCGCAGCAGAGGCAGGAAGCTCTTTGTGACGCTCAGCGTCCCGAAGAAGTTCACCTCCATGCAGCCGCGGAAGTTTGACATCAGAGAGAGTTCAGCGTCTCCGAAGTTCACACACACTCCTGCGTTATTCACCAGAGCCCACAGACCTGCCACACACACACACACACACACACACACACACACACACACACACACACACACACACACACACACACACACACATTAGAGCAGTGGTTCTCAGCTGTTGGGTTGCGTTTCGAGTGGGTCGCAGAAGTGTGAGTTAAGAAAAAAAAAGAATTGAAAAAGTAAAATTTCTTTTTTTTTTGTTGGAAAAAAGTCAAACCTTTATTTTGAAGGCCCGATTCTCTAACGCTGTGCATGCAGTAGACCTTTGACTGGAAGTACCGGAGACCATCAACAGTTTTGAAAGCTTCTGTCACGTAGTGATCATCTTCTCAATAAAACATCTTTGCTGATGTTTTTTGAGTCTTCTGGCCAATCAGAATCAAGATGGTTGCCGGAAGTCTCCACGGAGAATAACTTTACGGTAGAACTACTCTTTATACATCCATGGGTACAACTCCAGATACAAATGAACTCATAATGAAATATGACCCCCGGTTTGATGACTGACAGGTCAGAGGTAACAGAACAATGGGGGCTATCTAAGAGCAAAGAGGAGATAGTCTGTGTGAATTACTTTAGTGGGTAAGGACCCTGCTCTTCTCTCTGTGAGGAGCAGCAAGCTGTCAGAACAAAGTGAAAAACAAACAATGGCATCAAATATTATGAATATGTCGGGTAGTAATAGATTTATACATGTTCTTCTCAGAGTGTACCAGAATGCGTAGTTTATATGTTAGTATTTCTAAAAGATCCCCCCAGACCCCCTGCTGGGGTTGGGTTTTCAGCATGTGAGCCTTTTTGTGTGATATAGTTCAGCTTTGATTCCACGATACTTTAGTTCTGTGAAGGATGTGAGGGATGCACTGTACTTCACTTTCATTAACAGTGTATGCTGAAAAGAGTACATATATATTACAGCACCATGTTTTGTTGAATAGATTTGAGTGGTTCGAAATTTCGGGTCGCGGTTTATTGACAAAGGAAAAAGTGGGTCCTGAGGCCGGACCAGAACCACTGAAGTGTTTACACAGCTCCTCAGTGTTCTTGGTTACGTTTCAGAGAACATGCGTTGTGTGGTTTTAAGCACGGGGTTCATGTTGTTAGTCAAAACAAAACTAAGATACAACGTTTGGATAAAGTTATCAGGTGAAGCTGTTATAATAAATGAAGAAGCGCCCTAGTGTTTATAATACATGTTATATATGTATAGTGTTGTCTCTGCCCTGCAGTGCCCTGTGTGTAGATAAGAGCGTAATCACACACACTGAGTGTAATCACACACACTGAGTGTAATCACACACACACTGAGTGTAATCACACACACACTGAGTGTGATCACACACACACTGAGTGTAATCACACACACACTGAGTGTGATCACACACACTGAGTGTAATCACACACACACTGAGTGTGATCACACACACTGAGTGTGATCACACACACTGAGTGTAATCACACTCAGTGTGTGTAATCACACACACACTGAGTGTAATCACACACACACTGAGTGTGATCACACACACTGAGTGTAATCACACACACTGAGTGTAATCACACACACACTGAGTGTAATCACACACACTGAGTGTAATCACACACACACTGAGTGTGATCACACACACTGAGTACACAGCGAGGGCACGCTCTCTTTAGCTCAGTGTGTGTAAACACGCCTCCCCTCACCCACAATGCCCTGCTCCGTGTTTACGGGCCGATGGGAGATAACACCTGAACCCAAAGGTGACTTCCTGTCTGCATTTATCAGGGTTCAAAGTCAACCCGGGTTACATAAACTGAGATAAACACAGGTTTATAAAGATAAATAACGATGATATGCATTATTACCCTGTGTTTCATACTTCCTGTGTGAACTATAAAGTGTGTGTTCTCATCATATCGTGCTCCCTCACTTCCTCCTGTTGGCGCTCTGTTAGCGGATTATCTGAGATTATCTCTGCAGCAGCTGAAAGACTTTAAGACACCTGTCTGCACACAGGACCACACACACACACACACACACACACACACACACACACATACACACACATACACACACACATACACACACACACACACACACACACACACACACCACACACACACACCACATACACACACACACAACGACTACACACACCACATCACACACACACACAACACACACATTAACACACACATAAACACACACACACACACACATACACACCCAACAACACAACACATACAGACACACAACACACGCACACACGGCACGCACGCACGCACGCACGCACGCACGCACGCACGCACGCACGCACGCACACACACACACACACACACACACACACACACACACACACACACACACACACACGTACTGTTCCAGATAGAGTGAGAGTACATGGGTGTGTTTCAGTGACCTTTCCTTCCACTTCTTTCATTGAATCCGCCCCGCCCCCACACACACACACACACACACACACACACACACACACACACACACACACACACACACACACACACACACACCTCTCTCTGTGTAACCTTAAATGACTCTGAGCCTCTCCTCACAGCCAGCTGCAGTGTGAGAAGAGTTTAATCCTAAACTCTGATATGAGTCAGCATTATGAGTCCTGAACCCTGACATGAGTCAGCATTATGAGTCCTGAACCCTGACATGAGTCAGCATTATGAGTCCTGAACCCTGACATGAGTCGTGAGTCTCCTGACACACCAGGGACACATATATATGTTTAAAAGACATCAGAAAGTGCATTTTGCATGATAGGTGACCTTTAAGAGTCCTGACACCCTGACAATCAGAGAACATGAGTCAGCGTTATGAGTCCTGCTGGACGTGGGTCTGCTGGGATAGGGTTAGGGTTATGAGTAAGGTAATGAGTCCTCACCCCGGGGCCCCAGCAGGCTCTGGACCTTGGCCAGGGCTTGCTGGACGTGGCTCTGCTGCGTGATGTCGACCCTCAGCAGGGTCAGCAGGCTGGAACAGCTCCTCTGAAGATCTTTGGCTCCAGAAGAGTTCAGATCCAGAACTGTGGCGAACACCTGGAACCCCAGAGAGTCCAGATGCCTCGCTGTGGCCTGCCCGAACCCAGAGTCACATCCTGGGGGACAAGAGACACCTTCATTCAGATCACACTCTGATCCAGCAAACCAGAGTATTACAGCGGTGAGTGTTTATATTACATCTGATGAACAGTATCTGTACAGCGGTACCTTGTTGTGAAATACAAATGTTAATAACTGTGAAATAAATACCTGGCAGCTAAATCTCAGAACTGTTACAGGATGTGTGTTTTGTGTAATTGTTTTAATTTGTTTCATCCTTAATCTTTGGCTCTTTTCTTGCTGTAACAAATGCAAATGTCCCTACGAATAAAGGTGATTACATTACACACACACACACACACACACACACACACACACACACACACACACACACACACACACACACACACACACACACACACACACACACACATTATCCGTTCATATTTCTACACAAATTATGAAGCGCTTTTAAATTCAACCCTAAATTTAAAACAAAAACAAAGAGTAAAAAAAGAATTGACCGCAATTTCAAGTAAATCTTGATAGGCTAAGGGGCGGGTCATCTCTAAGAGCTCGACCAATCACAACAGAGCCGGCCAGCTGGTTCATGAGGAGAGTAATGAGATCTGAAATGTGTGTTTTCTGAGGAGGAAGTGTTGGATTAGAGATTTCCGGAGTAAATCCGGAGATCATCCCGCCTGACGGACAGCTGGAGAAACAGCAGCGTTACGTAACGGGGGGGAAATCTGCTCACTCTGCAGGTGGATGAAACACCAACAGACGTCACCATGAAGCCCCCCCACTTGACTACTGACTTAACCACGTCCAGATATAAGAAGGGGATCCTCACATATAGGGAACCAGCTCCAAAGATAACAAATGGTGGCGTTCCCATCGAGACATTCCAATGATAACAGTCCAACAGTGGCGGTCCATTGTTAACGCCCCAATGTTGGCGTTCCTACGATGGCGTCTCGATACTGGTCTTCTAATGGTGGCGTTCCCATAGTAGCGTCTCAACAGTGGCGGTCCATTGTTAACGCCCCAATGTTGGCGTTCCTACCATGGCGTCTCGATACTGGTCTTCCAATGGTGGCGTTCCAACTTTGAAATTTTAATGGTGGTGTTCCCATAGTAGCGTCTCAACAGTGGCGGTCCATTGTTGACGTTCCTACAATGGCATCTTCCAATGGAGGCAATTATTTTTATATTACAAGTTTTCAGCAGACAGAGTTAGTGGACTGTGAGGACGCTCTCTTTGACCCTTTATGAACACATTGAGCAGCCATGAACTGAAGTGTTTCTCCCGCACTGTGATGGCGTGCCGACGGCAGCAGGTTCAGGTTAAACTCATCATATCTGAAGCTGAGAGTGAGTTTTATATGAGCTGCAGATGTGACTGTATGGAGCAGAAAATGAGATAAAAAGTAAGTTTGTAATTATGAGTAGAGTATGAGATAACACGTCCAACTCATTTTAGATTTCCCTGAGTAACATGTTATCTGCCCTACAGAGGTAAGGGGTCCTGAGATGAGTGTGTGAGCAGGATTACAGAGCAGCTGGATGTTAAAAGTTTAAATCAACAGCGAGGCAGACGTCACTCCAGGTTTCATTAGAAAGCTGCAGGTCAGGAGGCCTGTCTGTTAGCAGGAACACACCTGGAAGTCATCACGGCGTTAACAACGTTAAATAATCACTGAGGAGGTCGTCAGGCTTCACAGGAACCAGAGAACCGGAGCGGGTCACCTTGAGGCCGCAGAGCCTCCAGGGGCCCCAACAACCACATCTCCATATGTGAGGGAGGGTCCTGCGTCAGATCCCAAACCGCAGGACTGTTGCTCCTTCAGGTAAACGCCCCGCCGCGCTCATACTGCAACGCCCCAAATAAAAGTCTCAAAGGGGGAACCTCACATATAAATTTTTAGGAGCAATGCGCTTATGGTATAGATGTAATTTGGTTGAGTGTGTAGACGGTGGAAGCAGGGAGAGGCATAGACGCCTTGATCCCTGCCGAGTCCACGCACAACTGTTGATTGGTGTGAGTGCCAGAAACACTTTTTAGGAGCAATGCGCTCACGGTATAGATGTGGCGCATACATCTCAGTTCCTACTCTTTTCCCTCACCCTATCCTAAGGGAGTGCATGTACGTAGACACGTTAGTTTAGCTGCTATAGGCTTAGACTGTCGGGGGACACCTTACTTCTTCCTTCTGTCTGTCTGTACCTGTGTACTCTCATGTTCCCAATAACACAGCTTCCCCCACATTTATTTTTGGTGTCTATCTACGCCGGGATCCGGAGTCGTGGCTGATCCTCTTGCTGTGGTCCTGTGTCCTTGATCCTCTATCCTGAGTTCTGGATTTGAGTCGTGGCTGAACCTGTCTCTGTGGTCCTGCCTGACTCTCATCATGCTACTTCCCTGATGGCTCCCACAGGATTGTTGACATCTTCGTGGATTCATCCTCTTATTATAGAAACATGCATTTCCAAACATGTGGTCTACCTACGCCGTGAAATGTATTATCTCTTAGATT